AAAAAAAATAAGAAAGCATGAATATTGATGGTTTTTCTATGGTGTATCGTGGTCTATAATGAATATGAAAAACAATGAAGTAATGATATTTGTCATAGATTTATGGAAGGTGAAGGTTTAAAGGATGATACTAGATATCTCAGAGTCTGGGTAATATGAGGTCAAAGAGTTAGTGTGTCTGAAAAACAGAATCTTCCACTACAGACTGACATACTGGATTAGAAGATTATACAATTTGAATTTATGAATGATAGTGATTTTCAGCCTGGCAATAAGGATGTTGATATAGTAAATTCAGATAGAGATTGACATTACAAATGTCATGATTTTTTAGTTCTTTTTAATATGAGGTATTAGATATTTTTCAGATTATTGGTTTCTTTCTTGTTGCTTCCTACTTCAACAACATCATCATCAAGAAAACAAACTCCTTTAAGGGCCAGAATTTTATTCAATTCACTGTGTATCTCCAATTTAACATGTTAAGGATAAACAGATAATCATTATATAATGATCACCCTATCAAACATATAGAGATGATGCAAAAATTGCTTTCTGACTCGTTACAAGATGAATTATAAGCCTGCAAATTTCTCTAACCAAAAAATATGAACCTTTGAAATAAGAAATACTGATAATAGTTCCTTATTTCAAATATTTAATTTAAGCAAAATTTGTATTGTTCAATATATGCTTATGCAAAGCATAGACATAAATAGTTTTAAAGTTCATCCAGCCTAATATCCCATACAATTTAGAAGAGTAGTGGTATAATGAAGTCTTTTTGGGCATTTGAAATATCAGCAAGCTCTTTGCTTCACAAAGTATTCTGTTTGTTTTGATAGCCTCTTTGTGAACAAATACCTTTTGTAGTAAAACTCAAACATAAAAAATCTTTGGTGGCATATTTATTTATTATAGTTTTGGCAACTGTTTTATATATTCTATATCACACTTAACTTTGAAAATAAATCATTTAGGCATGATCCTTCTGGGTATGAAGTAGATCCTGTTAGTTGTCATATTGATGATAATGACACTGAAGAAAATGGTAATAATGATGATAATAATCATAAAGATGGTAAAGCTGATGATATGTATGATAATTAAATGGAAAAATAAAAACTGTGCTGAGTTTCATTGGGGTGTTCCTTAATCTTTGACCTATATTACAGTTTAACCCAGAAAACTTCTTTATTTTCATTACAGAAAAAAACAAAACAAACAAACAAAAAAACACCCCAGAATATTTACTCTCAAGTATATATGTATTGGGGGGACAGCATATGGTGCCAGTGCATGGTATGCTAGGTGTTTTTCTAAACAAGAAAATCTGAAAGTAAAGTTTGACTAATGTGTAGCCTGTAGAGAGGTTCACTGATAAATAGTAAACAGAATGGTTATCATAAATACAAGTAAAATTAGAATAAGGGAAATGATATTAACTGTGGTACATAGGAAAATCAAAACATGGAAAGGTACAGGGTGCATATATTTTTAAGTGATATATGAATGTATACACATTTCAAGGTGAAGTGTTTTGACAGCGTCATGATTAACTGAAGTATTTTAAATACAACAACACATCATTGTACTGATTTTAGCCTAGTAACCTTTTCCTTTTGCAGTGTCATCAAAGTCATCTGATTTAGAACAGGGTATGGAATACCATCAGCATGATGTCTGCTTTACACAAAAGACAGATAAACTGTGTTGTAAACAATTCAATAATCTTTATTGATTTACATGGATATCAAGTTTTACTTCTACAATTACAAAATTTAAGGGCTTTTTCTAAGAGCACGTCAAAGATGTCACTATTTCTCCCTTCCATGGATAAGAGAAGATTCAGAGTGGAAAATAATTGTTTA